TGCTGATCTTCTGGGGGAGGGGCCTGTTGCCGTGGTTCCCAAATGTCTTTGCCGTAGGCAGAATTGCCCCTGCCCTTGCTGGGTCTGGCTAAGTAATCTGCTCGGGTTTGTTTCAGGAGTTTTTGTTCCCTGCAAGCTCTCGGTACAGCTTTGCAGGACAAGAGTGAAAATGGCGGCCTCCCAATCTCTGCCCTGGAGGAGCCGAGAACTCGGGGCCCCACTCCTCAGTGCGCCCCCAGAGAAAAGCAGTCAGTCACTCCCTTCTCCCCGGTCTCCGGCTGCACTCCGTGCTCACCCCTGTGACCGCGCTTTTCTATCTCTGGCACCCGACCCCGTGTGGAGTCTCCAAACCCAGCAGATCCCTGCGGTGCGCTCCCGCGCCACTCCTCCCGGGGGAGGAAGGGGAGTCTCCCCGGCTCTGTCGCTTGTTGGGTCCCTGCTGGAGGAGCAGTAGCCCGACTGGGCCGCGGATCACAGTTTATGGCAACCCCGAGCTGAGAGCCCGCACCTCGGCTCCGTCTCTGCAGCCGGCTTCCCCGCTCCGATACCTGGGAGCTCTGCTGCACTCAGGCACCCCCGGTCTTTCTGTGACCCCTGAGGGTCCTGAGACTACACTGTCCCAGGGAGGGTTCCACCCCCCGCCTAGCCACTGGAGCCACGTCCCTCAGCGGAGCCGACTTCTAAAAGTTCCGATTTTGTGCTCCGCGGCTCTATCACTTGCCAGAAGCAGTGGATGGAGGCCCCCTCCCCCGCCGTCTGTCCTCCGAATATCGCCTCAGATTCACTTCTCCGCATGTCCGACCTTCCAGAAAGTGGTCGCTTTTCTGTTCAGAGAGTTGTTGCTATTCTTTTCTTCGATCTCCTGTTGAGTTCGTAGGTGTTCAGAATGGTTTGATCCCTATCCAGCTGAATTCCTGGGACCAGATGAAATCCAGGTCTCCTACCCAATAGAGACATCTTAAGTACAAAGTTCACTAATGAGTACTATTCTTGTCCTTGAATAGAAATATTTAACAAGAGGCAGCCATAGTATCTCATCAAAGAGGTTTTGAGCCAGAGCTTCTGTTGATGTTATATTTTCTTTTCCTAAGTGTAGGATGTACAGATCCTGCTGAATGATCTCAGTTTATTAATCCCAGTTCTTATTTCAATATGAATTATCACTCTGTGGTTTTTCCATCAGTGTTTACTACCTCGCCACACTTTTATCATAATTTATAGGAGAGGTCCCAAGATGTATAATTGCATATTTAATATAGAATTACATCACTCAATATTTATGGCATAGTCATTGTGTGCTAGGTAATATGCCCAGGCTCTATAGTCACCCATGTGACTGACACCCCTCAAAGGAAATGTGAAGCAAGTCCTCTACTTCAATTGCTTTGTTTTTTTTTTTTCTAGATGGCTGAGAAACTACATAAAAATCGTTTAGAGAACAAAGACCTACAGGAGAAATTGCATACTCTTACCAGGCAATATAAGATTGTCTTAAGTGAGGAGGATAAACTTTTTATGCAGAAACAGAAAATTTACAATGAGTATGTTTCAATCCACGATCTGTACATGAATCGACATGCCATAGTTATGGGGTGCTTTCCCTGGCCACAAAATGGTGACTCCCCACTTCAGCTTATCCTAGTTTTCAAATCTGTTGACAACAGTGAAATATTATTTCCCCAAAATAAATAAACACACTCCTAATCTGCCTCTATATATACAGGGTAATGCTTTCCTCCTATGGGTCAGATCAAATCCATAAACACCGTGTGCATTACATTTACTTCTAAATCAGATTCCTGAAAAAAAAAAAAAAAATCCTGCTTTTACCCCATGAGACTGTCTAGAGAAACTGTGAGATGCACCTTCATCAGAAACTGGCTTTGCACCTCTATTCTCTATCTCAGAGAAAGCTTTGGTCATTGACACAATCCCCTAACCCAGAGACTGGGAAATTATTCAAGGAAATTCCTATCTTTTACTCTCTGTTGGACTCCATTCAAGCGCCAGGGCTTGTCGATTCTACCTCCCTGCTATTTCTCAAATATATCCCATTTTCCTCTCCAGCTCCATTCTTGTCACCTCTTTCAACTTCTTTGCTCTGGCTCGTCCTTTAAAATTTCTTCCCACTGTCAGCTTTACCCCCCTTCACTTGTTGCCCTCCCTTCCACCAGAATGATCCTTCTGAAACATCCTTGTGATGCCATTCCTTTTCATCAGTCACTGCATTGTAATCCGTGGGGTACTGATCTCTCTGTCCCGCTGATCTCTGACCAGATCAGGGTAGTTGTCCCGCCTTACTCACTGCTATATCCCCTTGGACACAGCTTAGAAAATAGTGGGCATTCACCAATAGATTCTTAATGAATACAGAATAATATCTTGCAAGCATGAATTATCTAAGTAATCATCACTACAGGTGAAGTTGGAGCACAGGGAAGCATAATTACAGCGTCCAGGCACAATTCTGTGAAACTGAGTTTGTGGTCCGTGTGGTATTTGCTCTGCAGAGAGTTGTTGCGATCATTGTATCAAATCCAATTGAGTTGCCTACTGAGAATCTGTTGTTAGTAGTTCTTTAGGCAAAACTTTTCCCCAGATCAATCCTAAGTTATCAGTTTTAATCATAAAATGTGCTGATGAGAAATAATTGTAACACTAAAACATTTACTGTTGTTACTGGTTTTTGTCTTCAGCTGGGACTGCCATAACTAAACACCATACACCGGGTGGTTTCAACAACAGAAACTGATTTCTCAGTTCCAGAGGCTGGGTGTCCAGGATCAGGGTGCCTGCGTGGTCAGGTTCTGATGAAGAGTCCTTTTTCCTAGCTTGCACCTGGTTGCCTTCTCACTACGTTTTTACATGGTAGAGAGAGGGAGAGGATAAGCTCTCTGGTGTCTCTCGGTACGAGGGCCCCCACCCCATCATGTCCTCATCTAATCAGGTGACCTGATCACTTTGCAAAAGTCCCATCTTCAAATACCATCAAGCTGGGTATTAGGGCCTCAACATACAAATTTGTGGGGGACACAATTCAGTCCATAGCAGTTTTGAAGAAGACGGGACACTTACATTTTGAAGAAGATGAGACACTTACAAACAGAGCACTTTCTGTTACAGGAATGTCCCTCTCAATGTCTGGAAAAAACTGACATTGAACAAAACTGTACACTTCCCATTATTCTCTCTGCAAATTGGAGGCAAAATATAACCACTTTTTATAAAATGCCTCATGGGTGCCATGCCACACACTGGCTTGAGCAATTGACATCTCATTTAATCCTGATACCTGGTGAGATAGGCATTATGGGCCCTATTTTATGAATGGAGAACCTGAGGCTCATCCACAGGCAGATTTTCTTTTTGAGGTCACACTGCTAGAAAGAGATAAAGCCAGTATTTAAAGTTGGTCTGACTGACTCCTTCACTTTTCACAAAAGAACATGGTAGAATTGATAAATGCATTACAAGAGGGATGGAGTCTACAGAATTCTTGCGGTTTTATGATTACTATTGCAATTAATGCTCTTTCCATGGCTTGGGGATTTTCATAAGTTTAGATTTAGCCACCACTAGCAAAAAGATTTTGTTTCTATTTTTACTAATTTGTTTGGTAAGTAGTTTATGAGCTGAACTTTCCAGCCTACTTTCTACATTCTTATTTGTGATTCTATATCCTCTTGGTGAGGAGTGAAAAATGATGATTTCACCCTTCAACATATGATAACTCTGTGTTTTTCATGGTAGAAATCAGAAACAACTGGCATTTATTACTCAGAAAGAAAACTTCCTATCACAAAGAAAAGTAGACATCAAAAATATGGAAGAAGGTCTTGTCACACTCCATGATCTTCATCGGTAGGTTTGTTGCCTTGGAAACTTTTCATCTTCATCTTCTCTGCTTTTATTTTTTAATATATGATAACAATAGAACTGATAACCTCTGATGTCCTATAGAAAAGGAGGCATATAATTCACTGTCTCTGTTTTAGAGTCTAGAATAGTTACTATCATTGAATCTATTGTTGAAAGGATAGGCAGGTCCAAAGTTCCATACAAGCTGCTGGATGTGAGAATGGACCAATCATCAGCAGTTTAGTAACAAGAATGTGCCTGAACATTATCACAACACCGACCCCCTATGGTGTTCATTTCTGCCATTCTAAATCACTTTAATTTTTCTGATTAAAAAAGTAATGCTTGCACCTGATTTTAAAATTCACATATAGAAATGTGTAACTTAGAAGACTAAAAGTTACCTTAATCTCCACCTCCCCCCAGAGATCTCACTGTATGCTTTCCATATAGGAGTGTGTTTGTCCATCCAAAAATTGGATTGCCCTTACATCTGGGTAACTTACACAATATTATGTTTCAGTTATATCTCAAGAAGCTGGAAAAAATATGTCTGGGAAAATGATAAAACAAATATGGTAAATGGTAACATTTGCAGAAATTGGTGAAAGGGATATGGGAACACTTAACTGATTTTAAAACTATTTCAGAAGAAGACAAAATTCATGTATATGGGACCTCATTCCTCTCTTTAACTGTATATTTCTTTTACAGATTATGCTATGTTTTATTTAACCAGTACCCTCCTGGTGGACTTTGTTTTTGTGTTTTCTATATACAAGCACTTTTCAAAGTTCACATCACATAAAGATATACTTTAACATGTATATCTCTGTCCACCTATACAACTATTTCTTTATAATAAGGTCCTAAAAGTTGAATTACTGGATCCAAGGGGATGCGTATTTTTTGTTTTTATAATTTGAATATATTTTATTATTTGAATATAGGGCAGTGGAGGAACTAGCTTATAGAACTAAGATAGTGGTGATCGAATTTGACCTGTACCAACAGAAATCTAGAACACAGCAGGACGTGTGGGTTGCTTGTCCTTAGGCTGTTAAACAGCATATTTAAACATTTCTCATGTTGGTTTCAGAAGAGAAACTGTGAACTCTTCCCTGTGAAAGAGCAGGAAAACAGAATTAGGTTGAGTAGGGGTCCTATTTTCCACATGAATAATGCAGATTCCATAACCAGTTGTTATGCCATCATTGCTCTGGGCACCAGGAAGCTCAGAGCTAAATGTGTGACCCAATATCAGCTTCCACTTAGGACTTTTTATATTATTGTTCCATTATTTTAAACTAGTTCAACTCCTCGGTGGATTAAACCAAATACATAAGTAAAGAAAATCAATGAGGTTGGGGCACATTGTGAAGAAACTTGCAGTTCCAGGGGAGGGTAATAGATTTATTGAGGTGGGAAATCAAGAGCCCACACTATGATTCAAACAGAGAAAAAAAGCAGGAACATGGTTATATTTCTAGTCTCACAACATTACATATTCTGTTTCAGTTATAAATATTTCTATTTTCCAAAAGACATAAAGTCACATTTTACTTTTCTACATATGAAGCACTAATAGGAAAAACGGAATAAAAATAATCAAGGCTTCTAATACTTGTGTTAGACTCTTCATGTTTCTAGCCATCCTAGATTCACAAGAAAATCTTCCATCCTCAATTGCTACTTAACCCTAGTACAGAAATCAGTATAGGCTTTCTGAATTACACGTTGCATCAGATCAAGACTCAGTCTAGAATCCAAAGTTCCTCACCAGTTTTTTGACCTTTACCCATCCTGTGTCACCGTTATTACTTCCCTAGATGTCCTCTGCCTGCAGCAAGTCTGTGTTGGTCAGAAGAGTCTTCACTTGCTTCTCCTTTTCCGTGTCTTTGCAAGTGATGATGCCCTTTCCATGGTGGGTTTCCACCTCCATTCTGGGAATCTATCTTCTTCCCTCTGTTAAACATTAACCTCCAATAACCCTTCCTCAGTTGCCTCCCCAGAATCTATTCTTCCTTTCCCTTGGGTATCCGCCATGATACTTGCAAAATCGGTTTGCACTTGTACAAAATCATAATTTTATCTTTCTCTGAGTCTACCACTACCTTTAGTTGTTTCACTAGGTTTGGTTTGTCTCCCGATTAGATGGTAGTCTTCTTGTGCATAAGAAGGATGTATAAAGTCTTTTATAGATTCTGCTAGCTTCCATGAATGCAAAACCCAATGTACGTTTTCTTGTTTTCAGAGCAACAAAAGCCGTTTATCAGAAACAAATAAAAATCCTGAACGATAACTTGGAAAGAGAAAATCAGAGATGGTAAAAAAAAATTCATTTGTGTTATGAGTAGTATATGTTTATCTTAATGAACAATGCCCCAAAGTAGGGAGGAAATCAGAGTACTTGTTGCTTGCTAGGGTCCAAGGAAATTAGTTTCCTAAATTGAATTGTGTGAGTTCTCTCAGGTCTAGATGTGTTTGTTAGTTTGATGTTGGGGCATTGAACAGACCCAGAGTTTTCCATTTCAATCGAGTAAACTCACCAAAGAGTGAAATTGTCAAGATTTGTGCAGGGCCTCTTGCTCACCAGGCTTCTGTGTGGACCAGTAGGGGAGGGGACAGAGGAGCACGGATAAACGTACAGGCTCTGGAGACGGGCTACTTTGGCTGCTTTGTCTCCCGCTAGTTCTGTGACCGAGGCTGCGTTATTTAGCAATCTCTCTGCTCCAAGTCCTATAAAGTGGCCGATGATGGTAGCACCCACCTCGCGAGGTCACCATGAATGGTAGAGGAGATGATCTATATCAAGTATTGAGATGACTCCCTGGCACCTAGGAAGTATTCACAAAAACTTAGTTGTATTTTATTGTTGTTGTCATTGCTATTAATATCATGTATAAGACCCCAGTTGCACATTTTGACCCTTCTCCAATGTAGCTTTTTTATGTTGCAGTGGAGAGAAAAATTTGAGAACCCAGAAGGTTGAAATCCCTTATTAGGCTTCTGGGTAATTTAGGGAATTTCCCTACTATTTCTGCCTGGGTCTCTCCTCTCCGCCATCCGCCCCTGAACCTTCCCCATTTCTATCCTTTACCTAAAGAAGGGGAGCTGCCGTGTGTGGTTTGTCCACCGTCCTGCTGGACTTACCGACACGGCTCATGAGATGTAGCAGCTGGTGAAGACGGACCACGTTGACACAGCACTTCGGCTTATTTTTTCAGCTGATGTGCATGATCCGCATCACCAAGAACACAGTTTTGTATAATCATAGTAAGATTTGTTTTGCTTTGAATTCCTTCATCTTTTCAGGAAACATGTCAATTTAATGATGATTTTTTGTGTTCTAATTTCTAGTATTATAACTCAGTGGAAAGTAGCTTGTTTGCAAAAAAAACACGCACGTTGGAGGAAGAGGCTAAACATTGAAATAGGAGAAATTTTAGATAAAATTCAGACTTCGGAATTCAGACGCACTGAATTATTACAAGAGGTAAAGGAACTCAAGGGACTTAATAGTATTACTCCATGGTAGTATGGACTTAGAATTATTACTGTGTATCAGTGATTCTCCTTCAATGTCTAATTAAACCTTACCTTATTAAAAGTTGCTTTCCTTTCTGGTGATGTTTAGAGTGAAGTATTTAACTTTCTTAAGAAATGTATCTATTTTTGTATATTGACTGTAGGGATTTGGCAAACAAAGTAGCACTTCTCTCTAGAAGATGCTGTGGAAACAGGCAACCAGAGACTTATTTGATGTTAACTTTTGGAGAATCTCTCTAAAAAAAAAAGAGAGGGAACAAACATCACTAACTCAGTTCCAGTAGTGGCCCTCTGCCCACCGTCTGGCCCCCACCACTCCCATTCCCCATTTCCTCATGCAGTTTATAGGTATTGTTTGGTGAATAAATTAACCTCTGCAGGGAAAATAGTGTTCCTCTCAGTGGTTATTATGAAATAATATAACCTAACACTGGAGCCAAGTCTCATGCAAAGAGATATTCACTCTTGGCTGTTTGAAAATGTAATGCTGACAGCTACAAAGGCAGACAGCAAATCTTCAGGTTTTTGTTTTTGTTTCTGTTTTCTTTTCTAATTAGACCACTGTACGAGAAAAAGAGATCAGTGAATTTTTGGCAGAGATTGAAAAAGTTACATTGGAATTAAAACAGGAGGAGGAGGAATTTATTGTCAAAGAAAAAAAGTTAATTCAAGAGTTGAGCAAGTATGAGGTAAGTTTTGTTTTACATCTAAGAATAATTTTAGATGGCTCTATGGGGGGAGGTGGTATAGTTCATGCTATTCTACTCAGTTCAATGTAAAATCTTCCAGTGTGAGCAAGGCTACAATTTCATTATGATCCTTCCTTTTTTTTTTCCTTAAAAAAGAGCAACAAAAACTTTTTTTTTTCCAGTTAGAAAAGAAAATCAGACACTCCACATTAGGTAGAAGTGCTGGCAAGGTCCATGGGGACAGGTGGAGGACAGCAGGAAGCCGTGGCGAGCTGGCACGGGACTGGCTGGGGAGAGCAGCAAAGGGTGAGGGAGGCCAATCAGGCCAAACTCAGAAATCCTCACTAAAGAGAGGGCATCCCACCGAGTTGGAGCTGCCAGGAGCCGATCTGGGATGAGCATGGATGCTAGGTGAAGTCGAGAGAAAAGGCACAGAGGGTACCCAGGGGGCCCAGAGGTGGCCGGCCTCTGGAAACACAACAGAAGACACCCATTTTCAAGGTGATGGTGTTACCTTGAAAGGTAAGGGGCTGTTTCTCGGAGACCTAACTTGGTACATTGGAATGAGGAGAAAAGGGATGGTGGGAGAAGCCCTCCTGAACTTGATTTGTTTTGAAGAGGAAGAGGCCTGGCTGCATGAAAGAGGGGCTTTCTTTGAAGACAGAAGTCCCTTGCCAGAGCGGGGCGAGCAGGGAGTCCTGATGTTTCAAAGTTTAGATCTTGCCAAGCCCACGCCTCCCTGCACAACCCCCACCAAATCCTGCAGAAACTGTCCTCAGTTAACTGGTCCAAGAAAAGCCAGTTCTTTCTAATAGGAATAACAAAAGGAGCAGCTATATCCTCCACACAAAAACACTAAGAGAGAAACAAGTGAAAGGGGGAACAGAAGTTTCCAACAACCGAAGAACATTCAGAAAGATGGTGCTGGAATGCATGACATCTGTGATCAAATGCTCCTCCATAAATTTAAAAAAAAAAATTGGAATTTCGTAGAAGTGCCAAGGAAGATCAGCAACACAGAAATCTAGGAACTCAGGGAAGAGGTGTCTGAAGGGGATGGCCAGAAATAAGAAGAGGTGAGATGGAAACCGGCACGACTCAGGGAACAAAGAAGGGAGAGAAAGGACTGCACAAATTCAGACAACTTAGAAGAAACAGAAGGAAGAGGAGTCGGGGCGGGAAGCGTTTCTCTGTCGGTTGCTGTCTGTCTGGGTGCCTGGTGTTCTAGATGCTGAAAAACACAAATTAAAAAAAAGAAAAGACAGCAAAACTCTGCCCTTATGGTGCCTACATCCCAGTGGAGGGAGATTGAAAATAAACAAGATAAACAAAGTGGCGGACATCGTGGAACCCGCAAACTCTCTGTGGGGCGCTCCTGAGCAAGGACTGTCCATTAGCGGAGTCCTGCCTGGGGCAGAAATGGCCCCACCCTTGCACCACCTCCTTGCTCAGTCAGTCGATTGGGGGCCACCTCTCGGAGAGCGTGACCTTCACTAGATGACCAAGGAGACTCTGAAGGAGCTGACCCCTGGAGGCTGGTAGCTGGCCACACTCCTTGCCACAAGGCAGTGAGTCATTCCTTGAGGGGCGATCCAAGAGAGAGGGGCATTCCCAGGTCTGCCACCTTATAGGCCATTGTGAGGACTTTGTCTTTTCTCTGCCTGGGCTGGCAGGCCGGAAGAGGGTTCTTTTAAATAGGATCTCTCTAGCTGCTATGTTGAGTAAAATTTAGGAAAGCAACGGTGGGTGCAGGAAGACCAGTGAAGAAGCTAGAGCAATATTCCAAGTGGTTCAAGTAGCTCGAACCAGAGTGGTAACTGAGGAAGTGATCGAAAGTAGGCAGTCCGCATGTCAGGTATTTCTTGAGACAGAGCTGACAGGGTTTACCATCATGCTTAATGGTAAACCAATGGAGGCGAGCCCCTTCAAGTCAGCAGTAAGGTAAGGACGCTAGGTAACATTGCATTCAAGCTCAAACAGTGCATTAGGCGAGATCAGTAGACCGTCCTCCCCACTTGCCAGGCTGTGTGCCCGCTGCAGGGCTGTGCCCACCTGTGTCTAATTCACACAAAGGCCTGGACAGATGGCAGCTTGTGTGCCACTATTATAAAGCAACAACCTCCTTTCCCCTTGGTAATCCTCATCAATAACCCAGAGCAAATTGGAAATTGGAGTCCCATTTCTGCCTTTGGTGCAGTGGCATGAGGAGCCATGGGCTTCTACTTTATTCTGATCCAGTGCTGACGCAGTGAGCACGAGTGGATCTGCTGGGCCCTACAGCCCCATGTATAGCAGGGTTCAGTCTGAGCAGCAGAGCCACCAGGAAAGGGGTCCATTAGAGGATTGGACCTTCTGCCACGGGGGGAGCTGGTTACACAGTCTAGTGAGGCTGTCAGCTTCCTGTCTGGAGCTGGGGCCTGAAGGCTGCAGGGCAGGCAAGTGGGAAGGGAAGGTGGACAGGGAGTCACAGGATGAGCTGAACTCATCCCAATGAGCAGGGACTGGGACCTGCATCTGTCTCTTTTCCAAGGCTCCAATTCCAAGGGGTTGTGGCAAAAGCCAGAGCCCATCATCACTGAACTAAGTGTGCATGTGGCTCAGGACTCGGGGAAGCTTGAAGGAGCTGAAGAAGCTGTGGTTCTGACTGACTGAGCCAGTAGACAACTCAGGCTAACGTGCCTGAGATGCAGCAGCACCCGGTACCCAAACCCTCCCCGAAAGCATGAAACAAGAGCGTGGTTTCTTGTCAGGGCAGTGCTAGCAGCTAAGTCCGTATAGGCGATGAGGAAGAATTCGTGCATTCACATACCTCCTGAGACCCCCAAGCTATTCTCTTAGAGAACATAGTATAGCTAATACACAACTGAGTTTTGTAACACTGCAGCATGGAAAAATTTACTCCTGATTCTGCATTGTAACAGGTTTAAATTATGGTGGTGTTTTGTTTAAAGCTTTTATTTATTTTAGAAAGAGCACATGTGAGCAGGAGGAGGGGCAGAGGGGGGAGGAAGAGGGGCAAGCAGACTCCACATAGTATGGAGCCTGGCATGGGGCTCAGTCCCACGACCCCAAGATCATGACCTGAGCTGAAACCAAGAGTCGGCCGCTTAATTGACTGAGACACCCAGGTGCCCCATTAAATTACGGTGTTTTTATGTATCTTTTTGTCTTTCTGTATTTATTCCTAAGGACTTAATGGCAGTTTGGGAGGGGACATATTAGGCTGGCACTTCACTGTATTAATTAGGGCACAGACAAGCTGCTTTATCAAAGAGATGCCAAAATACAGTGAACATAAGCAAGACGTGTGTAGTTAAGGGTTGGCAACCCTCTCTCCTTTATTGGGAAATTGACTTTGGCTTAACTTTCTGGGTCATTCCCTAGAGCCTGGTAAAGTTAGACAACTAAAGTTGTATTATCAGGCAACATTATTTGTATAGAATAACCCATGATTGGTATGCTGCATCTTGATGGGGAAAATAACTGGTGGGAAACTAGAGCATTGGGTTTCCCTTCCCTGGTGCCTCTTCTAAGTGGGCATGTCCCTTCTGGGGACCTAGAAGTATACCCAAAAGGTGTTGTTCCTATTTGAGCACTAAACTTCAAAGCCAGGGAGGCTATCCCATCCACCCATGTGGGTGTCTTCCTCTTCCATCTGAGTTATCACTTTGGTGTGGGTCAAAGGACACTAGCCTCTGGTCAGCTGTGTTTGAGGGTACCTCCCTGGGGAAGCATGCCAAGCATTGCCCTGCTGGTACCCGGGGGTTCCTTTGGATTATGTGTGTATGCAACTTGGATAAAAATAAAAAGTAAAAAAAAATTTTTTTTTACGAATAAAATGGGTCAAGTATGACCTGTTCAAATCTTAAGAGTCTGAGTATCTAGTTGAGAAGATCCCCTGATGTGATCATTACAGAAGAGAAATGTTTACTTCTCTTTCCCATTACAGGCCAAAGGGAAGGGGTCCAAGGTTGGCAGGGCAGCTCCACCATCCTCAGCATGAGGCTAACATTGGCGGATCCAAGTGGCAGCTTCCCTTCTCATTCTTTTCCAGCCAGGCAAGGGAGGGAAGGACCAGGGGGACACATGCTGCTTCCTGTTGAAGGGGGAGGACCCAGAAGTGGCACACATCACTTCGGCTTACAAACTCATTAGTTACACCCACTTGCAAAGAAAGCTGAGAAATCGCTGTAGCTGGCAGCCATGTGCTGAACTAGAACCGAGAAATCCTGATATTGAAGGACAGGAGAATAGCTAGTAAATGTCAGCTGGTTCTCTCTGCTGTAGTCACCGTTATAAACCCATCCTGACTTTCTAAGAGAGGTCCAACTATTGGTCCCTTTGAAACTAAATAAAACCTGATTAATTAAGCAAGCATCTTTATGTTTTGTTTGGGGCACTTTCTGCCCATTTAGTGTAGTAATATATGTAATTATTTCTATCCCCTCCCCATTTCTTATTTACATCCACACTTCTTAGGACTTGTGTGTATTCTGTTTTGCTCCCTGTTTTTTTTTCCCATAAAATATGATCAACTAAGATTTTCTCAAACAGATGTTTAGGGTAGCACTAATGGGATCTTAGCAGTAGAGCCAGAGAACTGAATGGATCTTTGGAGAGCCCATTGAATCTAATCTCCTTACTTTATAGATTGACAGAGAGTCAATCAGCGAACAAATATTTTTCAAATACCTAGTGTGTTGCAGATACCTTTCTGTGCATCTCAGGGTAAGAGGACACTAAGAACTCTCCCTCTTGAAGAACTTACGTTCTACTTTGGAGTGTAAATTGTGTACATTCTCCAAAATTGTGCTCACAATTAGCTTTTTTTTTTTCTTTAAAGAAAAGATTTGTTGAGGAAACGCAAAGTAATAAAGTAAAGGAAGAAGAGCTAGTCGAGTGTCTTCCACAACTTCAAGTGGCAGAAGAAGAGTACAAAAGCAAAAGTGGAAAATTTGAAGAGCTCAGTAATATCATTACAGGTATGTATGAGGCTCTTAGGAATTGACCTTAAGCCCAGGTAAGGATTTCATGTTGTCTTCTAACACGAGGCGGGTCATCAGTCACAAGCCAATGGTGAAATTCTCCAAACTTTTTCTATCACCTTTAATTCCCTCGTCTCTATTTTTTGCCTCATCTACTAATTTCTTCTCCTTTACATCACTGTTGCTCTTGTTAAATTTTTCCTTTTCTCTTTTAAAGACTTTAAAATTAAGTAGCAACTGTATTATGTGGTTTCTCTCTGTACTTTGTAAAGGTAGAAAACACTCCTTTAACTGCTACCATGTGGAGTGTTTTTTGTTTCTTTTTTTAAAGATTTATTTATTTTAGAGAGAGAGCACACAATTAGGGAGAGGGGCATAGGGAGAGGGAGAGAATCTTAAGTAGAATCCTCTCTGAGCATGGGGATAGAAATCAAAACTGTGTCAAAAAGATACAATCCTATGGAAACCCAGTATATTTAAATGTAAAACAAATATTTTAAAGTGAATAGTGGTAATTGCCAAGGAAAGTGAATTTTAAGAATATAAGATTATAAGCCTCAAATAACCAAAGTAATATTGAAAAAGAAAACCAAAGTTGGAGGCATCACAATTCTGGACATCAAGCTATATTACAAAGCTGTAATCATCAAGACAGCATGGTACTGGCACAAAAACAGCCACATAGATCAATGGAACAGAATAGAAAACCCAGAAATGGACCCTCAACTCTATGGCCAACTAATCTTTGACACAAGCAGGAAAGAATATCCAATGGAAAAATTCTCTTCAACAAGTGGTGTTGGGAAAATTGGACAGCAACATGCAGAAGAATAAAACTGGACCACTTTCTTACACCATACACAAAAATAGACTCAAAATGGATAAAAGACCTAAATGTGAGACAGGAATCCATCAAAATCCTAGAGGACAACACAGGCAGCAACCTCTCTGACCTCAGCAGCAGCAACTTTGTGCTCCAAGACAAGGAAACAAAAGCAAAAATGATTGGGACTTCATCAAGATAAAAAGCTCCACAGCAAAGGAAACAGTCAACAAAACTAAAAGGCAACCTATGGAATGGGAGAGGATATTTGCAAATGTCTTATCAGATAAAGGGCTAGTATCCAAAATCTATAAAGAACTTATCAAACTCAACACCCAAAAAACAAAAAAATCTAGTCAAGAAATGGGCAGAAGAC